GCACCATGGTATAAGGCACCATGGTATAAGGCACCATGGTATAAGGCACTATGGGTTCCATTTTACATAATGGAACAAAACAAAAGAAACTAAACTTCGAACTGATTTGTGTAATTTTATTAAGCATAATTTTGAGTATTTAATTATAATCATCAATATATTCTAAATTATAACTACTGTATTTTGTATATCATCCACCTGTTCTTATTTCTCGCTCTGTTCTTCAGGTCCCGCAGGTAGGATACGACCCACAACAACTGCTCCTATTTCTCGCTCTGTTCTTCAGGTTCCCCAACTAGGATACGACCCACAACAAATGCTCCTATTTCTCGCTCTGTTCTTCAGGTCCCCCGACTAGGATACGACCCACAACAAATGCTCCTATTTCTCGCTCTGTTCTTCAGGTCCCGCAGCTAGGATACGACCCACAACAAATGCTCCTATTTCTCGCTCTGTTCTTCAGGTCCCGCAGCTAGGATATGACCCACAACAACTGCTCCTATTTCTCGCTCTGTTCTTCAGGTCCCCCGACTAGGATACGACCCACAACAAATGCTCCTATTTCTCGCTCTGTTCTTCAGGTCCCGCAGCTAGGATACGACCCACAACAACTGCTCCTACTTCTCGCTCTGTTCTTCAGGTCCCCCGACTAGGATACGACCCACAACTACTGCTCCTATTTCTCGCTCTGTTCTTCAGGTCCCCCAGCTAGGATACGGCCCACAACAACTGTTCCTACTTCTCGCTCTGTTCTTCAGGTTCCCCAACTAGGATACGACCCACAACAACTGCTCCTATTTCTCGCTCTGTTCTTCAGGTCCCCCAGCGAGGATACGACCCACAACAACTGCTCCTATTTCTCGCTCTGTTCTTTAGGTCCCCCAACTAGGATACGACCCACAACAACTGTTCCTACTTCTCGCTCTGTTCTTCAGGTCCCCCGACTAGGATACGACCCACAACAACTGCTCCTATTTCTCGCTCTGTTCTTCAGGTCCCCCAACTAGGATACGACCCACAACAACTGCTCCTACTTCTCCCTCTGTTCTTCAGGTCCCCCAACTAGGATACGACCCACAACAACTGCTCCTATTTCTCCCTCTGTTCTTCAGGTCCCCCAGCTAGGATACGACCCACAACAACTGCTCCTATTTCTCGCTCTGTTCTTCAGGTCCCCCAGCTAGGATACGACCCACAACAACTGCCCCTTTATTTCTCGCTCTGTTCTTCAGGTCCCCCAGCTAGGATACGACCCACAACAACTGCTCCTATTTCTCGCTCTGTTCTTCAGGTCCCCGAACTAGGATACGACCCACAACAGCCTACTGACCCCTAAATACCCATTTGCTGCTGGATAAGCAGGGGCAGTAGGTACAAGACTAATACCCAGGTACCTGATGAGTGAAACACTTGGACAACATTTGGGTAATTTTAGCGTGGAAACGCCTCGTCAACCAGTGGCTTCATCAGTCCAATACAGAGACGAACGGTGGAAGGTAATAAGGGGTTTGAGGCAATCAATCCAATAAGATTGATGGACTCAGCACATCAACTCCAGGCTAAGGGACTGATTACCCCAAACAACCGTTCTTCTCTGTATTGGACTGATGAAGCCACTGGTTGACGAGGCGTTTCCATACGAAAGATAGACAAATATTGTCCATGTGTCTTACACATCACCTTGTCATAGTAATACAAAGTAGGTACCTAATGTCTGCTAGGTAAACAGCAGGAGCAGGTCTGAGGAGATGGACACCTTGGTACTTAATTTCTGCTAGGTGAATAGGGGTCAGTAGGTCTAAGGAAACTTGCCTAACCCAGTAATCGAACCCATGTTCTTTTTCTTTGGTACAGGATTCCTCTTATCATTAAGTTATACGGGTTATTTTGTTATATTTAACTATGACTCATTTGTAATGGAGGGGATGATAGGAAGCAGATGCCAGTTTTATGATGGCCCAGAGCATCAGCAACAGTCTAATTGACGAGGGATGGCAGCAACGTCTAACTTTATCGTGAGGGATGGCAGCAACATCTAACTTTATCGTGAGGGATAGCAGCAACATCTAACTTTATCGTGAGGGATGGCAGCAACATCTAACTTTATCGTGAGGGATGGCAGCAACATCTAACTTTATCGTGAGGGATAGCAGCAACATCTAACTTTATCGTGAGGGATGGCAGCAACATCTAACTTTATCGTGAGGGATGGCAGCAACATCTAACTTTATCGTGAGGGATGGCAGCAACATCTAACTTTATCGTGAGGGATAGCAGCAACATCTAACTTTATCGTGAGGGATGGCAGCAACATCTAACTTTATCGTAAGGGATGGCAGAAACATCTAACTTTATCGTGAGGGATGGCAGCAACATCTAACTTTATCGTAAGGGATGGCAGCAACATCTAACTTTATCGTGAGGGATGGCAGCAACATCTAACTTTATCGTGAGGGATGGCAGCAACATCTAACTTTATCGTGAGGGATGGCAGCAACATCTTACTTTATCGTGAGGGATGGCAGCAACATCTAACTTTATCGTAAGGGATGGCAGCAACATCTAACTTTATCGTGAGGGATGGCAGCAACATCTAACTTTATCGTAAGGGATGGCAGCAACATCTAACTTTATCGTGAGGGATGGCAGCAACATCTAACTTTATCGTGAGGGATGGCAGCAACATCTAACTTTATCGTGAGGGATAGCAGCAACATCTAACTTTATCGTGAGGGATGGCAGCAACATCTAACTTTATCGTGAGGGATGGCAGCAACATCTAACTTTATCGTGAGGGATGGCAGCAACATCTAACTTTATCGTGAGGGATGGCAGCAACATCTTACTTTATCGTGAGGGATGGCAGCAACATCTAACTTTATCGTAAGGGATGGCAGCAGCATCTAACTTTATCATAAGGGATAACAGCAGCAGAAGCAGCTGACAGTATCACCAGGGATAGCAGCAACAGGTGACAGTATCACCAGGGATAGCAGCAACAGGTGACAGCATCACCAGGGATAGCAGCAACAGGTGACAGTATCACCAGGGATAGCAGCAACAGGTGACAGTATCACCAGGGATAGCAGCAACAGGTGACAGTATCACCAGGGATAGCAGCAACAGGTGACAGTATCACCAGGGATAGCAGCAACAGGTGACAGTATCACCAGGGATAGCAGCAACAGTGACAGTATCACCAGGGATAGCAGCAACAGGTGACAGTATCACCAGGGATAGCAGCAACAGGTGACAGCATCACCAGGGATAGCAGCAACAACTAACCAGCATCACCAGGGATAGCAGCAACAACTAACCAGCATCACCAGGGATAGCAGCAACAATTAACAGCATCACCAGGGATAGCAGCAACAGCTAACAGCATCACCAGGGATAGCAGCAACAACTAACAGCATCACCAGGGATAGCAGCAACAACTAACAGCATCACCAGGGATAGCAGCAACAACTAACAGCATCACCAGGGATAGCAGCAACAACTAACAGCATCACCAGGGATAGCAGCAACAACTAACCAGCATCACCAGGGATAGCAGCAACAACTAACAGCATCACCAGGGATAGCAGCAACAACTAACCAGCATCACCAGGGATAGCAGCAACAACTAACCAGCATCACCAGGGATAGCAGCAACAACTAACAGCATCACCAGGGATAGCAGCAACAACTAACAGCATCACCAGGGATAGCAGCAACAGGTGACAGCATCACCAGGGATAGCAGCAACAGGTGACAGCATCACCAGGGATAGCAGCAACAACTAACCAGCATCACCAGGGATAGCAGCAACAACTAACCAGCATCACCAGGGATAGCAGCAACAATTAACAGCATCACCAGGGATAGCAGCAACAGCTAACAGCATCACCAGGGATAGCAGCAACAACTAACAGCATCACCAGGGATAGCAGCAACAACTAACAGCATCACCAGGGATAGCAGCAACAACTAACAGCATCACCAGGGATAGCAGCAACAACTAACAGCATCACCAGGGATAGCAGCAACAACTAACCAGCATCACCAGGGATAGCAGCAACAACTAACAGCATCACCAGGGATAGCAGCAACAACTAACCAGCATCACCAGGGATAGCAGCAACAACTAACCAGCATCACCAGGGATAGCAGCAACAACTAACAGCATCACCAGGGATAGCAGCAACAGCTAACAGCATCACCAGGGATAGCAGCAACAACTAACAGCATCACCAGGGATAGCAGCAACAGCTAACAGCATCACCAGGGATAACAGCAACAACTAACAGCATCACCAGGGATAGCAGCAACAACTAACCAGCATCACCAGGGATAGCAGCAACAGCTAACAGCATCACCAGGGATACACAAATAACCCGCACATAAAAGACAGAAGCTTACGACGACGTTTCGGTCCGACTTGGACCATTGACTTTGTCAGTGGTCCAAGTCGGACCGAAACGTCGTCGTAAGCTTCTGTCTTTTATGTGCGGGTTATTTGTGTATCGTTCCAGTCACGGTATTGTGCCTTTTTGTTATTTATCACCAGGGATAGCAGCAACAACTAACAGCATCACCAGGGATAGCAGCAACAACTAACAGCATCACCAGGGATAGCAGCAACAACTAACCAGCATCACCAGACTCTGCCTCACACTTCCTAATTTAGACTCCAGCAGCCTGGGTTAGAAACCAGACAGTTTTCCTGGTCTCTATTAATGGCTCCGTTTTCCTGAGAACTCTAAACACGCCTTTCCATTTCACACATGATTTAATCCACATTTACCCCCTTCACATACTTTTTTTACCAATTTATTAAAGAATGTAAAAAGAAAATTAACACGAGATTATATTTTTACGAAAAAAATTGAGCCTATTATTATTTTGCGGTTTTCCTCCTAAAAGATAATAATCAAAAAAAAATTTTTCAAAATATCCTGGTTCACTTGATGGTTATATGTAAGGATGACGAAATAGGGTCGTCCACATTGTTAAAGTTTCTCCACAATGGTAAGTATCTGGATGTTGTGATGGTGACTGAGAAATGCATTATTTTTCTGTAAATACGAGTCGTCTCCCACTGAGGTGGCATGGCTAGAAAAAACTAATTCACCATCATTCGTTCAACAGCTATGTTATCGTAGGTACTATGCACACATCACGGTTAAATGTGGGCTTTATTAAGTTACAAATGTCTAGTGTGTGGGTTTTATCAGTCTACAGAGACCCACTGTGTGGGTTTTATGTCTACAGAGACCCACTGTGTGGGTTTTATGTCTACAGAGACCCACTGTGTGGGTTTTATCAGTCTACAGAGACCCACTGTGTGGGTTTTATGTCTACAGAGACCCACTGTGTGGGTTTTATGTCTACAGAGACCCACTGTGTGGGTTTTATGTCTACAGAGACCCACCGAGTGGGTTTTATCAGTCTACAAATCCACTATGTGGGCTTTATCACGGTATAGACCCACTGTGTGGGCTTTAACATTTTACAGACACCCACTGCGTGGGTTTTATCACGCTACAGACACCCCCTGCGTGGGTTTTATCACGCTACAGACACCCACTGCGTGGGTTTATCACGCTACAGACACCCACTGCGTGGGGTTTTATCACGCTACAGACACCCATGCGTGGGTTTTATCACGCTACAGACACCACTGCGTGGGTTTATCACGCTACAGACACCCACTGCGTGGGTTTTATCACGCTACAGACACCCACTGCGTGGGTTTTATCACGCTACAGACACCCACTGCGTGGGTTTTATCACGCTACAGACACCCACTGTGTGGGTTTTATCACGCTACAGACCCACTGTGTGGGCGTAAGAGTAGTCTCTGTAAAAAATCCACACGTTTCTTTCCCATACTGTAGGGCGGCACTGTAGGCATCTCCTACCATCACTATAGTGTGGGTATCAACTAAGACTAGGCTATAAGTATCTCTGGTAGTACTGTTGTTACTGCTAGACTTAAGTTTGGCTGTAAGTATCTCTAGCAGTACTGTTGTTGATGCTAGACTAAGCTAGGCTATAAGCAACACTTCTTGATTCGCCGGTATTCTCCCGGCCCGGGCCTTTTCCAAGTGGTGGCCCGGCCTTGGCACTGTTCTTCTTATGAAGGACCTTTGTGAGCCTTGATCAAATTGTGTTAGCACATTTCTTTTATGTAATTGTTCACTAACGGCCCCTTTCAAGGCAGGCGAAATTGCAGACCTCTGTAATCCTGTTTTTTTTTTTTATACTTCTGTTATTTTTGAGAATTTGGAGAATTTATAGAATTAAAAATCTCAAGAGCCTAGACAGAATGCTATGCTAAGTTCCTTATGGCTTTCTTAGTTGGCTATTTCTTTTTCCTTCGTTCAGGGGAAGTACTAAATCCGTAAGGGTTACACAGCTGGAAGGCAATCGAAGGAAGTGTAGCTTCAGTTCAGTGGATCAAGAACCCTTTACCGGCATCTTGGCATCCCCTTGTAGTGCAGGAAATCAGACACTTTGACAGAAGCAAGCCTCGTAAACATAAGTATTTATTATAAAAATCGACGTCTCACTCAGTCGTGAGGTCGCCATTATTTAAAAAAAATTATTCTGGTGTCTGATATTTCGTGTACGTGTCCTTGGTTCACTTTTGAAGTAACTTGAGACGACCAGTACAGAGTCAATATACCAGTTTATTGTATATATCAGACTTCTCTTGCAGTGAAACTAGGTAAGGTTGGTCAGAAAACAGGACAAGTGTTTCCTGACGAGGGTCTTAGTCAGTTGACCAGCAGCTGGAGCTTCTGGTCATTTGACCAAGGCCTTCCGCTAGATTGCCGGTCCATCCCTTTAAAAATTATGGTGGTTTAGAAAGACACGTAAGCAAACACTATGACATATTTATTATGGTCATAATTATAACCTTTTTATTGTAGTGAAATAACTTAGTTGATTCGCCGGTACTCTCCCGGCCCGAGTCTTGAGAGTGTCTGAGACCTATGTCTGCCATGACAGGAGGTACAAGTACCTCCTCATCTTCTAGGACCACTAATTATCCAACAAAAGGCTGCAGTTAGAATGATAACAAATTCTCACTACAGGCAGCACACTCCACCAATATTCAATACACTAAACCTACTCACCATACAAAACATCCATACTTATTACTGCACCTATTACATACATAGAACACTTAACTCTGATATTAACCCTCCCCTCAAACATCTCCTTGCCAACCTCAACAGAACACATGACCATAATACAAGGCACAGATCACTCTTTGATGTTCCTCGTGTCCATCTCACGCTATGCAAAAACTCAATGCACATAAAAGGCCCTAAAATCTGGAATTCATTACCTGTAAATATAAAAGAAACACTACCTGTTTATAAATTCAAGTCTCTTCTCAAAGATCACTTACTCACCCAAAACCAAATAAATACTGAATAACTGAACCTTATAAATTGTATATCTTAAATGTTTCTCACAATTATATCACATAAATGTTAAACCTAAAACCCAATCTAACTTTATTATTTTTTAAATACACTACCTAACAGAATACTCCATACGACTGAATGTACAACAATGCATGCAACCATATGACCTGTCTTTGTAATACTCACTTGTGCTTTATAGTTATCTGTTTACAATAATGTATTATCACTGATTTCATCATTGCTTAGTTAATTTTAAGCCAGCCCGAAATGCTATGCATAGTATAAGTGGCTTTGGCATGCTGCTCTTATCTGTATTTTTTTGTACCTCGTATGTATGCTCAAATTGTAAATAAATAACAAATAAATAAATAGGACCAGCTATCCCCCATTCCCCGCCCTCACGGGGCTCATAGGGAGATGCTAGGCCTCTGGTCTGCCACCTTCCCCACCCACAGGGAGGCTCGTGGGAATACCAGTCTTCTGAGCTTATAGTGAAACAACTTTCTCGCTGTATATACGTTCAGGTGAAGTCTCGTCTGGTGCTGTGCACTATATTAGGCTCGATACACAACATACACAACGTTCTAAATAACTTTTCTTATACGTACCTGAACGCCATTGATAAAAGATGGTATCAAAAACCAACATGTCAATAAGAAATATGTACGATACTTATGAAATTGATTTTGAGAAGATTATTCTCTCTGGAGTACATAATAAGTTCGTCAGATGAGCATTCACTATCCTTCCCATTTATAAAGAATAACTACACAATAAATAATGCCCGATAATTTGTGAGAAAAGTAGGTGTTTTGAACTATAGAGGGTCAGTTTGTATGGCTAGTGTGATTACATGAGAGGGGTTGGATTTGAGTGGGACTTGCACTTGAGTTGATAGTATTATCAAAGCTTATTCCTTGGGTAGCATTGAAAATAGCCTAGGCAAATATTTTTATTAAGTGGGTTTAGCTTTGAGAATGACCTGCCAAGTATGGGACAATAGCCCTGCTGCAATATTTCTCCATTCTTATGTTCTTTTTATATAATCAACTTTATATCAGTCTTGCGCTTGTATACCACGATAATATCTGCTGCCTCCATTATTCTACACCTATTAACAGAGTTGGTTCATTAACTCTCTAAGAAGGAATCACGGTATAGTGGCATAGGTTTTTCTCAATATTCTATATATATGTATACCAGAGCATTTACTTCCAAGTTGTAATGTGAACACTCTTAGGAAAAGAAGTCATCTGTCTTGCTGGGTTACACAATAGAAGCGAGTGGAGAACTCCGGGGAGTTTGGGGGAGCATTGAAAATTGGGTTGGGTAAATGTTTTGTTAGTGGGATGGATTGTAAAGGACCTGCCTAGTATGGGCCAACAGGCCTGCTGCAGTGTTCCTCCTTTCTTATGTTCTATATAGCCTGTGAAAGTCTTCTCTTTCGTAACAAGGTGTTGGATCACGGTCAGGACTGGCTGTCTTTAGTATAAAAGACCATCTTAATAGATTTTTTTTTGTAAATTATAACCAGGACACAATAATCAGATAAAATAATTTAATATTTTTAATATTAACGTGTCTTAAAAGAAGTAAATACTTTCTTGTCGAAAAATACTGACTGGTACTTTTGAGTACAATAATACTAAAGGCCATAAGTTCATAATACAATTTATGAATATTTAAAGGAAGATTTCCATTATCACGAGTCGTAAGTTAGTTTAATATCTTCATTATGCATCCCATACCCATCCTGTGGGCGGTCACGAGTCGTAATTAACCATATATACACATACCCAGGGGTTTCAATCATTGACGGAAATGTCTCACTATAGGTCGACTCAATACACGTACGAGGCTAAATTGTACATCTGTCCTCCAATAATCACTAGCTTCCAGTAAGATAATCCACCAAGAAGCTAACACAGAGATAAAAGCATTTATCATAACATAACAAGCTATCTTAATAAAGCAGGAATTTGTGTAACTGTGTTTGTGTATACCTGAATAAACTTACTTAAAGCATACAGCTGAGATCTTTAGCAGCATCTCTGTGGGAGTCCTATTACTCCCTTCTTACCCAATATAAGTTCGGTTTATTTCAAATCAAGACTACGGTAAGACGTGGAGGTCATAGTTAAATCCACTCATTGACTTCATAATGTCAGAAAAACTCGCAACCTTAGTAGATATCAAAATATCTAAGTCCAGAACTAACTCTGTCCTTTACTGATATTCACTGTAGCGAGAAAAAGGTTCCGTCTCACCAACGGAACAGTCTGTTACCCAAAACTGGAGCCTAATCAAACTTCGAGGAGAAGATGTTACCAAGACTAGACATAGACTACTCCTCAAGGGAGGTTCCTTGACGCTGGTGAGGAGCTCTTGATCTAGCGAATTGGATCTATGCTCCGGTTCCCTGAATCGAGTCTGAATACCTACCATCCCCCCCCCCCCACATGAGCTGTATAATCCTAGGTGTTTAGCGCTCCCCCATGATTATAATAAGAGGTAGGCTGATACACAGGCAACACCTCTAAGCCAGACGTCAACACGGTTCACAGAACACCTACCCGAGAAACAGTTTCCTACTTAATTCAATAAAACATATCCCACCTATATACATAGCTAAATAATATAAAGTCAGAAAATGTTATAAAGCAAAATAGTTTGATTTTAGTTATTATTGAAGATATAGACAATATAATTTTAAGTGAGAATAAAAATGTATAGATATAATAGCAAATACAGCTTAGGTCTCATTACCTGGAGTTTACCTGGAGATGGTTTCGGGGGTCAACGCCCCCACGGCTCGGTCTGAGACCAGGCCTCATGGTGGATCAGGGTCTGATCAACCAGGCTGTTACTGCAGGCCGCACGCAAGCTGAAGTACGAACCACAGCCCGGTTGGTCAGGTACTGACTTTAAGTGCCTGTCCAGTGCCTTCTTGAAGACAGCCAGGGGCCTATTGCTAATCCCCCTTATGTATGCTGGGAGGCAATTGAACAGTCTTGGGTCCCGCTCACTTATTGTGTTGTCTCTCAGTGTACTCGTGGCGCCCCTGCTTTTCATCGGGGAAATGTTGCATCTCCTGCCGAGTCTTTTGCTTTCATATGGAGTGATTTTTCGTGTTCAGGTTTGATACCAATCCCTCCAGGACCTTCCAAGTGTATATTATCATGCATCTCTCTCGCCTGCGTTCGAGGGAATACAGATCAAGGACCTTCAACCGTTCCCAGTAGTTTAGGTGCCTTATCGCACTTATATGTGCTGTGAAAGTTCTTTGTACACTCTCCAGGTCTGCAATGTCGCCAGCCTTGAAGGTGGCCGTTAGTGTACAGCACAAACTGGGACGCAACAAACAGCGGAGACTAAAGTTACCTACCAAACCATACCCCGGCCGGGATTGAACCCGCGGCCAGAGAGTCTCAAAACTCCAGACCGTCGCGTTAGCCACTAGACCAACGATCTGGAGTTTTGAGACTCTCTGACCGCGGGTTCAATCCCGGCCGGGGTATGGTTTGTTTACAATCGTGTCATTACGATTTCGTGAGTCAAGTTAGAGTTACCTAATGTAAATAAGGTCTTTATCACTAGATAGCAATAATTCACATGTATCACAGAACATGACCTATACAATGTCCACTCTTTACTTGCAGAGAGCATCAACAGAACTCCTCATTGTCTTCCTATTATGTTTAGCTGCAGCTGTACCTCAGGAAGCTAAAGGTTAGTCTTACTCTGTCGCTACACAAACCTTTACGTATTTCATCTTCATTTCAAGCAATAGTGGCAGTGCAAGTTGGTATATGTACTTATAGATCACAAAACTTGCAGGCTGTTACAGAGATGGCTATTTGACTGAAGGAAATAAGGTGTCATGGAATAAATTATGATGTTTATTTGCAGATGGACAAGATGCAAAGATATCAGATAGAGAAAATGCTAAGTTATCAGATGGACAAAATGTTAATTCCACGGATGAACAAGATGCTAAGTTCTTTATCAAGTCTTACTCAACTACCACTTGGACCTTCTTGTCTTCGTTCACCTCCACAGTACCCTACACCTGTTACACAAGTAAGTCACCAAACAAGTAAGTCACCAGACAAGTAAGTCACCAGACAAGTAAGTCACCAGACAAGTAAGTCACCAGACATGTAAGTCACCAGACATGTAAGTCACCAGACAAATAAGTCACCAGACAAGTAAGTCACCAGACAAGTCACCAGACAAGTAAGTCACCAGACAAGTAAGCCACCAGACAAGTCACCAGACAAGCAAGTCACCAGACAAGCAAGTCACCAGACAAACAAGTCACCAGACAAGCAAGTCACCAGACAAGTAAGTCACCATCACGAGTAAGCCACATATTATTGATGATATACAGTACCATCAAACTGGTGGACAACACACATGTAAAATACTTGAATATCTTTATTACCGAAAGATTTTACCTGCACAACTGGCTTCTCAATCGAATATAAGCAAATAGAAGAATGGAGACAGTAGAAGAAATTTTGTGTGATTTGTCCGGCAACCTTGGTGGAAGGATGTCAGTTCCTCAAGCTTGGACTGACGTCCAAATACGAAGAGTGACGGGCTAATCATGTCAGCACTACTATTTTAAGTATTGCATTCTCTTGTATTGACCGAAGAATCCCGTTGTGCATGCAAAACCCATCGGCAATAAAAATACCCTTGTGTCTTTTCATTAACCTGTAAGGCAGCAAAACCTGGGAGACAGTGTGTTAAGATCTCATTATCCTAACATATTTCATGTCATTAACTACTCGATAAACCTCCACAAGTTGGGTAACATTATTTTTGGTACCACACGAATTAATGAATGACTGACATTTAATTCATTACTATAGAAAACACTTGTTTATTTAAATATTACTTTTTGTCACAGCTGCTGCCGGTGTCGTAGCTTGCAGGGGTCGTCGGATGCGTAATTCTAAAAGGCTTTTCGTGGAACGGGATGCGGATACCTTTGAACTTCTCAGCAGCATATCTGGTGACGACGTCAAAGAAGACGACAGGTTGTCTGAGAGCGAGAAGTTCTTCTTCACGTTGTGGAGGACATCTAGCTCTACCGTCACCGTCACTACCTACTCTACCAACCGTTCTGTTACTGTCTCTGTGTCAGTAATGTGCACTTACCCTGGCGTCGCCCTCAACTTCTGCTAGCATGGAAACCACCATTGACCAGTGATGTTCATCCTTATAAACTCTTTCTGAGATTTCTTAGCAATTATTCCAGTCTTACTGTTATTACTGTCTTCCTGTGGATGAACAACGACCGAGGTTAAATATTCTCATAATGTAAACATTGTAAATACATAACTGACCCCTAATAAATAGATTCGCTTGCAAATTTGTTTGGTATCATGGACTCGATCTGCCATCTACTGCCATCTATCTGGGTGTTGTTTGATTTCATATATCAAGTTTACCTTCTACTGATCAACATTCTCACGTAGACAGCCTCTTAATTGCAAATTTAAAAAAAACAGCCTCGTAAGAGTAGAAAACAGTTTGAATGGGCTGAGTGTATACAAGCAGAGAGAGAATAAAGAACAATTAGTCCTAGGTCTGGAAGACCTGGAATGCCCAGTTTATGAGTGCTAAGAAGCAACAATTAAACCTAGGCTTTGGCAATACACTAATTGTCATAAAGCTGGAGGAATAGGCACGACTTGAAGTACACGGTGGCAGTGCATCTCACGACGTCCTTCCTGGAGTTTACCTGGGGTTTACCTGGAGAGGGTTTCGGGGGTCAACGCCCCCGCGGCTCGGTCTGAGACCAGGCCTCCTGTTGGATCAAGGTCTGATCAACCAGGCTGTTACTGCTGGCCGCACGCCCGGTTGGTCAGGAACTGACTTTAGGTGCCTGTCCAGTGCCTTCTTAAAGACAGCCAGGAGTCTCGATATTCAACAGCATGATAAGTGGGTAGCAAAAACGACATTAAAATGGCTGTTCTGGCACTGGTCTCAAGCCTTACAAAAAATAAATTCGTGTCTGTTGTTTATTATAAATTATCAAGGTAAATAAGCAACAGTTATCTGTTGGCCTTATTACGCACGCTCAGGGACTGTTGTCTTGGTTTTAGATGTCTCCTTACCAAGACTCCCGAAACCTTTCCACATTCTGCACGGTCAAAATCTGTTATTTAGTTTATAAGTGCTACGGTTATTGACATTCCCAAATATAGGAACTTTGCATTTGTTGACACTGAGCAGCATCTGCCACTATTCTTGTATTTGTTGACACTGAGCAGCATCTGCCACTATTCTTGCATTTGTTGACATTGAGCAGCATCTACCACTATTCTTGTATTTGTTGACATTGAGCAGCATCTGCCACTATTCTTGCATTTGTTGACATTGAGCAGCATCTGCCACTATTCTTGCATTTGTTGACACTGAGCAGCATCTGCCACTATTCTTGCATTTGTTGACATTGAGCAGCATCTGCCACTATTCTTGCATTTGTTGACATTGAGCAGCATCTGCCACTATTCTTGCATTTGTTGACATTGAGCAGCATCTGCCACTATTCTTGCATTTGTTGACATTGAGCAGCATCTGCCACTATTCTTGCATTGTTGACATTGAGCAGCATCTGCCACTATTCTTGCATTTGTTGACATTGAGCAGCATCTGCCACTATTCTTGCATTTGTTGACATTGAGCAGCATCTGCCACTATTCTTGCATTTGTTGACATTGAGCAGCATCTGCCACTATTCTTGCATTTGTTGACATTGAGCAGCATCTGCCACTATTCTTGCATTTGTGACATTGAGCACATCTGCCACTATCTTGCAATTTGTTGACATTGAGCAGCACTGCCACTATTCTTGCATTGTTGACATTGAGCAGCATCTGCCACTATTCTTGCATTTGTTGACATTGAAGCAGCATGACGCCACTATTCTTGCATTTGTTGACATTGAGCAGCATCTGCCACTATTCTTGCATTTGTTGACATTGAGCAGCATCTGCCACTATTCTTGCATTTGTTGACATTGAGCAGCATCTGCCACTATTCTGACTGCAACATAAGCTTGTCTAAGTCTTCCTGAAGTCCATTAATATCCTCCTCCTAATCTATTCTCTCTATTTTTTTTATTAGCGAATTTGCTCATATTATTTGTTATTTCCTTGTCAAGGTCAACAGTGCACCTAAAATTAATCCTTGTGGAACGCCACATCTGACTGCTCCCAAATTTAGTTTCACCCTATAAATAATCTTCCTGTTAATAATAATCATTATTTCTGACCATACATGTACAAGGTATACAGACCATAGATAACGTCAGTGACATACTATTTAGAAAACCACTTGTTATGCAGAGCATTTCGGGCAGATTAGGTCAATTTTGTCCTCAGGATGCGACCCACACCAGTCGACTAACACCCAGGTACCTATTTTACTGATAGGTGAACATGGACAGCAGCAGGTACCTTAAGGAAACACCGTCCTAATGTTGCCACCCGTACTGGAGATCGACCACCGGACCTTAGTGTGTGAGCTGAGTACGCTACCACTCAAGCTACTGGACACCTGATTTCATGAGGTCACTGGTTGGGGTTGATTGATTGATGTAGATTCGCCGGTACTTCCGGCCCGGGTCTTCTTCAGATGGTGACCCTAAGTGGGCGGTAGTCACCACATACCCATCCTGTGGGCGGTAGTCACCCCATACCCATCCTGTGGGCGGTAGTCACCACATACCCATCCTGTGGGCAGTAGTCACCCCATACCCATCCTGTGGGCGGTAGTCACCACATGCCCATCCTGTGGGCGGTAGTCACCACATACCCATCCTGTGGGCGGTAGTCACCCCATACCCATCCTGTGGGCGGTAGTCACCACATACCCATCCTGTGGGCGGTAGTCACCCATACCCATCCGTGGGCAGTAGTCACCCATACCCATCCTGTGGTTGGTAGTCACCCCATACCCATCCTGTGGGCGGTAGTCACCCCATACCCATCCTGTGGGCGGTAGTCAAAAGATTACAGAGGTACATAATGGGTCCAGGGACTGGGCCCCAAAGCTTTGATAGCTGAACTAGTTACAAAGGTAATGAACTCACAAGTTACAAAGGTAATGAGTCCTGTAAGAATGGTTACTAACGTTTATACATGGCTACAATCATGAACAAATTATGGAATCGTCTTCACATGAATATATCCAGGTGCTTCACGTGTGTCTAATTCCTCACCGTGTATCGTAATACCATTATTACAATGATAGAAGATTTATATTTGAGAAAACTCTCCCTAGTTTGTGCCAGTAGACCTCCTGCAGTGTTATTCCATTTTTATGTTAGTAGATAACATTTAGAGGCACCATCCCTTCAACATTTTATACCTGGAAGGGTTTCGGGGGTCAACGCCCCCGCGGCCGGCCTGAGACCAGGCCTCGTGGTGGATCAGGGTCTGGTTAACCAGTCTGTTACTGCTGGCCGCAAGCAAACTAACGTACGAACCACAGCCCGGCTAGTCAGGTACTGACTTTAGGTGCCTGTCCAGTGCCTTCTTGAAGGCGGCCAGGGGTGTATATAATATATATATAATAATATATATATATAATTATATAATCATATATATATATATATATATATATATAATATATATATATATATATATATATATAATATATATATATATATATTATAATATATGTATATAAGAACATTACATGTGTGTATTCCGAGTCAAGGATAACGAGGATGAATAAAACATAAGAGCATCAATCAGAATATTACATATATTAACAGTAAGGGCCACTTATGTAAATATATACTAAAACAAATCTGTGTACAGTATTCTTAACCGTTGCTTATCCGTACATTTTGATGATGACACATGTTCTTCATTTTCCAGAAGAAATGTGAAAATTTCTCATGAGGGCAAGATTTTATGATAATGGAAATTTTGGTTATGGGATTGAGGTCTTCTGCTAGCTTACCGATCCACCCCTTAATTAAAAAGTATTGAAAATCACTTCATTAGATGATAATAGAAGGTTCTGAACCCCCTTTAATAAACAAAGCAAAGTCTGCGTCTCATAAATTTGGAGGGAACAAAAAACCAAACTGACATGGATCCAAGATTATTTATGATTTTTTTTTTAATGCTAACACTGCCATGGGATAAGCAATGGGTGGGAAGCGACTTAATGTCGAGTTTCCTAACAAACATTATACAATATTCCCGGGTAAGTGCATGCAATCGAAATGGAAATGGTGACGGATCGATTGGTGGAGTAAGTAGTGACGGTGGCTGTGGTGCTGGAGGTTCTCCACACAGTGAAGAAGAACTTCTCCTGCGCAGACTCCAACCCCTCTATCAGATCACCTTCCAGTTCACTCTGGATGCTGCTCCCGAGACTCGCAGCTTCCTCTTGTGACACTTGCATGTGAGTCCTCTTTTGGCGGCGAAGTCTGCGACCCATGCAAGCCATGGGAGCCTCCATACCAGCTGAAAGAATCACAAGAACCCAGGTAATTAATGTTACAATAGAAAGCTTGGAAAAATATTCTCTTATTAACCTAGGTATCCACTGGATTTTTTAAATACTTGCCTAGGTTGTAAAGAAATTTTGGACTTCTCGTTAAAGACTTGATTGGTAGTGTACCTGTGTTGAAGACAACTAGTAGTGAACATGTGTTGTAGACTTACAACACATGTTCACTACCAGTGAAATACTACACACTACCAGTGAAAAGGGGTTTAGCGCTTCAAAAAGAAGTGCTAAACCACTAGGGTTATATAGACTTACTAGTATAGCAGGTGTAAGGGACGGTGGACGTGAAGGAGGAGAGGAAGGTCCAAGTGGTGGTGTAGTAGTTCTTCACGAAGAACTTGGCCTCACCACCGGTATCATTATTATCTACAAGAAACATGACTGAATTAGCACATTTGTAGTACCTATCATTTACGCAGTAGGCTGCCTTTCAGTGTTCTTCCGTGTGTAACATTTCTCCCTGATTCTTAAATTTTAACTTTCTATGATGAACACAAGAACAGAGAAACTCTGCATTTGCCACTTTTCTGACCACGGCATTAGTTATCTAAGTAAAGTGGCATCTTCCTCTGAGTCTATTATCCTGCCAGTTTTTGTCTTCAGCGAATTTGCTCATATCACGTAATTCCTTCATGAAGGTCATTAATGTAAATTTTTGAACAACAGTGGACCTAAAACTGATCCTTGTGGAGCGCCACTTGCGACCCTTCCGCACTCTTGATTTCTAACCATTTATGCATTCTGCCGTCTATTGTTCAGCCATGGCTCTATCCATGACTACTTTTTCCCAGTATCATGAGCAGCCACTTTTTTAACAATCTTTTGCGTGGGTCTCTGCCAAAACCCTTACTGAAATCCAAATAAACAATATCATATTCTTTATCACGTTCAATGGTCTCAAATGCTTCACTGAAGAAAGCATTTGAGGCAGGATCATTTAGGCAGGAACGAACCCTCATGAATCCATGCTGAGTATCATGAATCAAATTATGCTTATCAAGATGGATTCTTATAATATCGGCTATAACTGACTAATAATTTACCTACAAATGAGGTCAGGCTTGCTGAGCGGTAATTTAGTTTAGTTTAATATGTTTATTATGCACCCCATACCCATCCTGTGGGCGGTAGTCAAAAGATTACAGAGGTACATAATTGGTCCAGGGACTGGACTCCAAAGTTTTGATAGCTGAGCAAGTTACAAAGGTAATGAACTAGATCTGGTCATAATCATGACCAAGTTACAAAGGTAATGAGCTCCAGGTAGAGCTGGTCACACTCATGAATAATTGCAAAGGTAATGAATCATAAACACATTAATCATGAGAATTTACAAAGGTAATGAGCTCCAGGTAGAGCTGGTCACAATCATGACAAGTTTCAAAGGTAATGAATGATAAACACGTTATGACATGATTACAATCATAGACAAATTACAGAGTAATGAGCAGTAAACAAACATAGCAGGGAATTCATCCATTGCCCCAACAACAGATGTTGCTAGGTGCCTGTCTCTCCTCGGTAGACAGCCATTGCAAACAGCAGCAAGTTGCCCTGGGATCTGCTGCTTGCACGAGCACCATCGACCCTCCCCAAGAGGTCCAAGAAGCCAGTGACTCCGTTAGCAGCCCGATGAAGAGCTCCCCTAGGGACATGTCAGCGTCCTGGTGGACGCCAAGTTGATTGAAGATCCCAGGCCCTCGTGTGCACGGATGTTGAAGCTTGAGGAACTGAGTACACACTGCCTGTGGCACACCTGACAGCTGCCTCGCGGTCGAACTCCACGATGCTGTCCCTGTAGTGGAAGTTCCTGTGAGCCCGGCACTCCCTGCAGTGCCATCGCTGACATCGTGGGTTAGGGGAGAAGTACCCTCTACTGATGGGGTGGCGCTGGGAGTTGGGTGGGTGAGGCGGGGGAGACGCGCAGGTGTTGAGGCGTTATGAAAGGGTCACTGTTTACTACACACGCCCTCCCCCTCCCCCCAGCGGAGAGGGGGGGAGGCGCTGACTGGTCCTGACTCGACAACACCAAATCCTCTGAAACTGCACAACACTTCAACTATTTACGCTGAAACGATGCACTGGGATGTCCGTTCGCTGCTCTGGTATCTTCTTCAAGCATTCACACTGAGTTCTGTTAAGTAGGGACCTGGTCAGCCTCTTTGACCAGGAGCTATCCTTGAAAAATCCCGCAGCTAGCCCGCTACACAACCTACCGTGTCGGCCATGTTGAGCCCTGTGGCGGTAATTTAATGATCTATTTCCTGCTTTAAAAGCATATTCTGATTCATGATACTTCCACACCTTATCTATTGTTACTATTTTTATTTCGAGGAGTCTGGAGAAATTTCGATTAGTCTGGGGGAATTTCGAGTGGTCTGGGAAAATTTCGAGGTGGGTCTGGGGGAATTTCAAGGAGTCTTAGGGAATTTCAAGGAATCTGGAGGAATTTTGAGGGGTATGAGTGAATTTGAGGGGCTCTATATACCAGGTTATATGTCACCTGGTGCACCAGGTGACATATAGCCTTAATGACCTTAAAACCTAATATACCAACCACGGAATAGAAAGGCACAATACGGTGACGGGAACAACACACAACCTGCACTGCGTGTTATTTTTATACTGTACCAAACGACAGGTGTCATTTTTATGTTTGCGATAATACGAATTATCAACGTTTACGGTGTCCCGTAGCTCTGTTGGTAGCGTTAAATTCTGTGGTTCGATCCCCGGTACAGGTGGAAACATTAGGTACCTGAGTGTTAGTCGACTGGTGTGGGCCGCATCCTGGGACAAAACTTGACTTAATTTGCCTGAAATGCTCTGCACAACAAGGGTTCAGGATTCAGGAAATCGTAATGGCGGGGGTTCTATCCCCACCCGTGGTATGGTTCACAACAAGGGGCTTTTTATATAGCAGAATGACATTGATGTTTACCTGGAGAGGGTTTCGGGGGTCAACGCCCCCGCGGCCCGGTCTGTGACCAGGCCTCATAGTGGATCAGGGCCTGAATCGACGTATGAACCGCAGCCTGGCTGGTCAGGTATTTTAGGTGCCTGTCCAGTGCATGCTTGAAGACAGTCAGGGGTCTATTGGTAATCCCCCTTATGTATGCTGGGATGCAGTTGAACAGTCTTGGGCCCCTGACACTTACATCAGCTAGGTCTGTATACCTTGTACATGATTGGTTGATTGGTAAGGTTTGCCAGAAAGATGTACATATACTTGTAAAAATAATTATTTACTTTAGCTGTCAAGGATTCAGCTTAAAAATAAGATATGTAAATTCTCCAGCAATATGTGGTTTGCGCAGTGCAGACATTTATATATTTTTGACCCAATCAAAAATATTTTTTGGGGATAACCAATAATTTAAAAAGGAACAGAAACTAACCTAAGAATACTGTTCAAATATTTACCTTCCTGCTGGAGTTCCAGGGTGGTGGTCGCTGCCAAGCTTGCCACAGCCATCAAGAGCACACCCACCACTGCTCTCTGAAAGTCATCAGTCAGTTGTTACCCCGTGTAAGACGCAGCGAATATCATATATAAGACACCACTCCCACGAGCCCTCCTAGGGCGGGGATGGTGCCAGAGCTAGAGCTTGCTACTACCTGCAGATCACAAGACTGCCACTCCCAGGAGTCCCCCTGAGGCGGGGCAGATAGACCAGAAGCCTAGCTTCTCCCTACGAGCCCCGTGAGGGCGGGGAATGGGGCTAGGCCTGGGCACAGTTGGTCCTGGAGCTGGGGAGGTACTTGTACCTCCTCCCGTGGCAGACTTAGTTATATGTAGTGGAGGCAGGAACTATACATAGTTTTAAGACGAGGTATGATAAAGCTCATGGAGCAGGGGGAAAGAGGACCTAGTAGCGGTCGGTGAAGAGGCGTGGCCAGGAGCTGAGTCTCGACCCCTGCAACCACAATTAGGTGAGTACATAGGTCTCACGACACTCCCAAGACGGAGCCAAGGCCGGGCCACCATTTAGAGAAGATCCGGACCGGGAGAGTACCGGCGAAACAAGAACAATAAGAACGAATATCATATATTTAAGGGTAGTTTTATGATGGTTAAATGTGTTAGCTGTTGGCTATAAGTGGTAGCAGCTAGTTATATGTGTTAATTGTCTTGGCAGGAGCTCCCCCGGGAAATAAGAGGTTGTAAAACAGACAAGATGATAAAAGAACACTGTGACAGAATCGGAATCTTCATTTAACGTTTCGCTTGGAGAACAAGCTTTTCCAAACCTGTTTAATAGCGACTTGAAAAAGTTTAGTCCCCCAGCGAAACGTTATATCAGTAAATATTTCCATTCTGGCGTATTCTTTTTATCAGGCTATCTCTTGTTTGTGGATTAAATTACCACGGGATAAACTCAGAGTTATTCCATTTATGAAATTTGATAACACAGTCCTGACACAGTCCAACGACCCGTTTTTATTACATGAGAAACCAGGAGAGGAAGAGAGATGTTGATCATTTTAAATACATACTGACTCATTTGATGTTGATTTAAAACTTGATTGCACTAGTTATAATTTGTGTATATACTGCGTGTGGGCGCACACAAGAGAGCTGTCACTATTAATATGCATCCAGGCATGACGTGTGCATGACGTACTCACGGAATAAGAGTGTAATGAGGACGATTTAACCGAGATATGGCAGGCACTTCTTAATTCGCCGGTATTCTCCCGGCCCGGGTCTTTTCCAGATGGTGACCCGGCCTTGGCTCCCTATTTTGGGAGTGTCTGAGACCTATGTATGCCATGGGAGGAAGTACAAGTACCTCTTCATCTTCCGTGGCCAACTGTCCCCAGGCCTAGCCCTATTCCCTGCCCTCATGGGGCTCATAGGGAGAAGCTAGGCCTCTCTGGTATGCCATCTTCCCCGCCCCAGGTGGACTCGTGGGAATGGCAATCTTGTGAACTACAGGTGACAGCAAGCTCTGGCTCTGGCACCTTCCCCGCCCTAGAAAGGCTCATGGGAATGGTGTCCACCGTGATGATGGCAGGCACTGGTGTCAAGGCGGATATTTCTTAGCCACTAATGACATGCCGGAGAGCCCTTGAACGATACTACATTACGCTCTTTCAGCTGGTGAAGGGTCTTTTGCTCCACAAAAAGAAATTGAGCTACCCTTCCTCTTCCTTGGATCAAGTCTGATTATATTCCTTTCCTCAAACGTTGTATGATTCCTGCGGATTTAGCGCTTTCCTATGATGATAAGAATGATAATCTGCTCTCTCACTGTGGCTTTCTTCCAAGTAATGTACATCTTACCGTCATCCTGGAGACGTGAGTACAACACAGTATGACAGGCTTGCACATCCTATATAATAGCAAGGCCGGAAAGGGTAGTGCAGGAAAATACAACTCAGAATATAATTCCAACTGGCTTTATCTCACCACAAGAATAAATAAAATTCACCCATAGCAGACTGCATTATCACGGATTCATTCCAATTCGAGTTTTGGATTAGCGGACATAAGGCCGAGTCGTATTTTTGCGTTGTGATGGGGGTTTCGGTAGCTTATATATACCGATAATTAAAAGAAAAGCATTTATTGAGGTGATAAAGTGAGTTAAACATAAACTCTTGCCAAGAGTATTGAAGCTTAAGATAGTAACGAGGAAGTCCAGAGATATATTGAACAGTGTTGTAGTTGTGGAAGTGTAGACCAGCGACCCAAGTCCGGACCTGTGGAAAAAAATATATATTTCAGAATAAACTTTCATTGGTACAAAGTTTTATTCAATGTAGAGCTCTATTACTTAATAATAAAGCTCTATATTAAGTAGAACATTCTCCCAGTAAACGTTTGTCCTGTAACGTTTTTCATATATATATATATATATATATATATATATATATATATATATATATATATATATATAATATTGTATGTATATATGTATATGCAATAAGATCACAGTAAACAGGTGATTTCAGAATATGCAAAACAACCACTGTGAAAGAGCAGTGAAATTCCAAGCGCTTTCGTGACTACTCACATTGTCAAGGAACTGTGAAAGTAATACATCAAAGGAAGGCAATCAAAGGGCTTAGACTACACCTCACAGTCAACTCCCACAACAAAGAAACACCTGATGCGCGACAATACCGGACTCATAAGAAAAGAGGAACACTGCAGTAGGTCCGCTGGTCCAACTAGACAGGTCCTCACGACATCCCACTAACAAATTATTCTACCCAAGAAATAAGGTTTATTATTTGTCCAATGTATTATTAAACTCTAACCAAATTTTATGGCAATGGGAAATCCACTTTCACCTGTTCTTAGTAATCTATACATGGATTTTTTTGAAACAAGGTTGCTTAACACAATCCTCCCTAATAGAGCTAAATGGTTCAGATATGTTGATGATATTTTGTGTCTTATGCCCAAAAATGTAGATATACACCATTTCCTTGGAAAATTAAATAGCTTAGCCCATTCTATAAACTTTACTGTTGAGTTTGAAGAAAATAACTCATTGCCTTTTCTAGATGTTTTAATTATTAAGGGTAATAATGAATTCAAATTTAAAATTTACAGAAAACCTACAAATAACTGTTCCTATGTCCACTATTATTCCTCGCATCAAGATAGAGTCAAACTGTCTGTTTTCTTATCAATGTTTTTGAGAGCTTTACGAATTTGTAGTCCTGAGTTCATAGATGAGGAAATATCCAAAATTTATGAAATAGGTAATGATTTAAAATACCCAAGAAATGTAATTGATAAATCTTTTAAAGTTGCTAGAAATACTTTTTACAATCCAAAAGGACAACCAGCCTTATTCAACTAAAAATATGTTGGTTCTCCCTTACCATGAAAACTTGGTTGATATGCCTTCTCTTCTTAAGACTTTTAATATTAAAGTTGTATTCAAAAATCTTGATACAGTAAAAAAAACTTTTGATAAAGAATTCCCCCCAAAATGCTGATGGATGTGTCTATAAGATTCCTTGTAAAATTTGCGATAAAGTTTATTACGGTCAAACTGGTAAAAATCTCGAACTAAGATTAAAACAACATAAATATAGCATTAGAACTGGACAAGATTCCAATGCTCTATTTATTCATGTAAGAGATTTTAACCATCCAATTGATTTACAAAAAGTTGAGAAAGTAGTATCAAGCAAGTCCATGGTCGACACGAATCTAATTGAATCTTGTTTCATAAAAAGCAGTTTTGACAATAATATGAATATTTCCTTTGGTTTGTATAAATTAGATTCATTTATAATTAATAAAATTTGGTTAGAGTTTGCCTGTTTGCCTCCAGTGTCCTGTTTGCCTCCTGTGTCCTGTTTGCCTCCTGTGTCCTGTTGGTCTCCTGTGTCCTGTTTGCCTCCTGTGTCCTGTTTGCCTCCTATGTCCTGTTGGTCTCCTGTGTCCTGTTTGCCTCCTGTGTCCTGTTTGCCTCCTGTGACCTGTTTGCCTCCTGTGTCCTGTTGGTCTCCTGTGCCCCTGTTTGCCTCCTGTTCCTGTTTGCCTCCTATGTCCTGTTGGTCTCCTGTGTCCTGTTTGCCTCCTGTGTCCTGTTTGCCCCCCTGTGTCCTGTTTGCCTCCTGTGTCCTGTTTGCCTCCTGTTCCTGTTTGCCTCATGTGTCCTGTTTGCCTCCTGTGACCTGTTTGCCTCCTGTGTCCTGTTTGCCTCCTATGTCCTTTTGGGTCTCCTGTGTCCTGTTTGCCTCCTGTGCCCTGTTTGCCTCCTATGCCCTGTTGGGTCTCCTGTGTCCTGTTTGCCTCCTGTTTTCCTGTTTGCCTCCTGTGTCCTGTTTGCCTCCTGTGTCCTGTTTGCCTCCTGTGTCCTGTTTGCCTCCTGTGTCCTATTTGCTTCCTGTGTCCTGTTGGTCTTCTGTGTCCTGTTTGCCTCCTGTATCCTGTTTGCTTCCCGTGTTCTGTTTGCCCCCTGTGTCCTGTTTGCCTCCTGTGTCCTGTTTGCCTCCTGTGTCCTGTTTGCCTCCTATGTCCTGTTGGTCTCCTGTGTCCTGTTTGCCTCCTGTGTCCTTTTTTGCCTCCTGTGTCCTGTTTGCCTCCTGTGTCCTGTTTGCCTCCCGTGTCCTGTTTCCCTCCTGTGCCCTGTTGCCTCCTGTGTCCTGTTTGCCTCCCTGTCCTGTTTGCCTCCTGTGTCCTGTTTGCTTCCGTGTCCTGTTTTCCCCCTGTGTCCTGTTTACCTCCTGTGTCCTGTTTGCCTCCCGTGTCCTGTTTGCCTCCTGTGTCCTTTTTTGCCTCCTATGTCCTGTTGGTCCCTGTGTCCTGTTTTGCCCCCTGTGTCCTGTTTCCCTTTCCTGTTTCCTGTTTGCCTCCTGTGTCATGTTTGCCTCCCGTGTCCTGTTTGCCTCCCGTGTCCTTTTACCTCCTGTGTCCTGTTTGCCTCCTGTGTCCTGTTTGCCTCCTGTGTCCTGGTTTGCTTCCTGTGTCCTGTTTGCCTCCTGGGGTCCTGTTTGCCTTCCCGTGTCCTGTTTGCCTCCTGTGTCATTTTTGCCTCCTGTGTCCTGTTTCCCCTCCTGTGTCCTGTTTGCCTCCTGTTTTCCTGTTTGGGCCTCCTGTGTCCTGTTTGCTTCCTGTGTCCTGTTTGCCTCCCGTGTCCTGTTTGCCTCCTGTGTCCTTTTTGGCCTCCTGTCTCCTGTTTGCCTCCTGTGTCCTGTTTGCCTCCTGTGTCCTGTTTGCCTCCCGTGTCCTGTTTGCCCCCTGTGTCCTGTTTGCCTCTGTGTCCCGTTTGCCTCCCGTTCCTTTTTGCCTCCTGTGTCCTGTTTGCCTCCTGTGTCCTGTTTGCCCCCCGTGTCCTGTTTGCCTCCTGTGTCCTGTCTGCCTCCTGTGTCCTTTTTGCCCTATGTCCTGTTTGCCTCCTGTGTCCTGTTTGCCTCCTGTGTCCTGTTTGCCTCCCGTGTCCTGTTTCCCCCTGTGTCCTGTTTGCCTCCTGTGTCTGTTTGCCTCCTGTGCCCTGTTTTCCTCCCCGTGTCCTTTTTTGCCTCCCGTGTCCTGTTTGCCTCCCGTGTCCTGTTCCCTCCCGGTCCTGTTTGCCTCCTGTGTCCTGTTTGCCTCCTGTGTCCGTTTGCCTCCCGTGTCCTGTTGCCTCCTGTGTCCTGTTTGCCTCCTATGTCCTGTTGGTCTCCTGTGTCCTTTTGGTCTCCTGGTCCTGTTTGCCTCCTGTGTCCTGTTTGCCTCCTATGTCCTGTTGGTCTCCTGTGCCCTGTTTGCCTCCTGTGTCCTGTTTGCCTCCTGTGTCCTGTTTGCCTCCGGGTGTCCTGTTTGCCCCCCGTGTCCTGTTTGCCTCCCGTGTCCTGTTTACCTCCTGTGTCCTGTTTGCCTCCTGTGTCCTTTTTTCTTCCTGTGTCCCTGTTTGCCTCCTGTGTCCTGTTTGCCTCCGTGTCCTGTTTGCCTCCTGTGTCCTTTTGCCTCCTGTGTCCTGTTTGCCTCATGTGTCCTCTTTGCCCCCTGTGTCCTGTTTGCCTCCTTTGTGTCCTGTTGCTTCCTGTGTCCTGTTTGCCTCCCGTGTCCTGTTTGCCTCCGTGTCCTGTTTGCCTCCTTTGTCCTGTTTCCCTCCTGTGTCCTGTTTGCCTCTCGTGCCCTTTTTTGCCTCCTGTGTCCTGTTTGCCTCCCGTGTCCTGTTTGCCTCCCTGTCCTGTTTGCCTCCTGTGTCCTTTTTTTGCCTCCTGTGTCCTGTTTCCCTCCTGTGTCCTGTTTGCTTCCTTTTTCCTGTTTTGCCTCCCGTGTCCTGTTTCCCTCCGGGTCCTGTTTGCCTCCTGTGTCCTTTTTTCCCTCCCTTTGTCCTGTTTGCCCCCCTGTGTCCTGTTTGCCCTCCTGTGTCCTGTTTGCCTCCTGTGTCCTGTTTGCCTCCTGTTGCCCTGTTTGCCTCCTGTGCCCTGTTTGCCTCCTATGTCCTGTTTGCCTCCTGTGTCCTGTTTGCCTCCTGTGTCCTGTTTGCCTCCCGTGTCCTGTTTGCCTCCTGTGTCCTGTTTGCCTCCTGTGTCCTGTTGGTCTCCTGTGCCCTGTTTGCCTCCTGGCCCTTTTTTGCCTCCTGTACCCTGTTTGCCTCCTGTGTCCTGTTTGCCTCCCTGTCCGTTTGCCTCCGTGTCCTGTTTGCCTCCTGTGTCCTGTTTGCCTCCTGTGTCCTGTTTGCCTCCTGTGTCCTGTTTGCCTCCTATGTCCTGTTTGCCTCCTGTGTCCTGTTTGCCCCCTTGTTCCTGTTTGCCTCCTGTGTCCTTTTTTGCCCCCTTGTGTCCTGTTTGCCTCCTGTGTCCTGTTTTGCCTCCGTGTCCTGTTTGCCTCCTGTGTCCTGTTTGCCTCCTGTGCCC